GTCTTCCTCACTTTTCAATCATGCCATCTTCTTCAATCTCTTTCCGTATGTCCAAGGTTGTTTTAGTCCCTGGGTCATTCTCATTGGCTTTCTTTGAACCTGTCCCAATTTCTCTGAAACCTTCTTAACTGTAGTGCCCTAAGCCAAACACAGTAATTGACATGGATCAAAGCCAAATAAAGTGGAACAATTCCCATGATTCTATTGATGTAACTTAGTTACATTTGCCTTTTTTGGAGCCAGATCACTATTCCCAGATCTTTTTAACATGTACAATTACCAAGCTACGTAGCCCCTATCCCATACTTGTGGGTTTGATTTTTGTTTTCTAAGTAAAAATATCATCAAAGCTTCTAACAGAAAACCGGCCATACCTCCTTTTGCTTGCATTAGACACCGAATAGCTTCCTCGGCTTCTTCTGGGGTGGTGGTTTTGATCTGTTTTACGTTATATGGCTTACTAATTCCAGTTCGTGATTTTGGCTTGCAGGAAAATGTAAAAACAAAAGAGAAATAAAAAGAGAGTCTAGAGGGAAGATAAACCAAGCAGCTGTCCCTTCTATAAAGCAGTATATAAACATAAGAATAGCCTTGTTTTTGTTTTTTTCAGGGGATCATCATTTTTTTACTGGATATGCCTTCATGAAACTTAACTTTTAGCATATAGAGGATCATCTCCTCTTATATATTCCTTTCCTTTACTTAGTTGCTGCCACCAAACATGTATTTATTAATTAAAATATTCTTTGCCTACTTTCTACTTAAACATATTCAGAGCAGCTATTGGATTAATGTTCCCCAACCTGGTACTCTCTGGACATGGATTATAGTTTCCATCAACCCAGGCCATTGGGGATTATGGCAGTCCACATAATCCCAAAAGCACTAAGTTTTGGTGCCTTATATTTTCCAAAAAGAATCTAAAAAATATTTTAGAGTGCTGGTAGTGGTGATTTAGAGCTCAAGATCTTCTTGGCATTTTGGTGCTTCTCATAAGAGAAACTTAGTTTAACATTATACTGAGTAAAGTGATTTTTTTCCCTTAACAGTACTTGAAATGATTGTACTGAACTACTCACAGGGTGCTGTGGTGCTCCTGGAAGAAGCTTTGCTGTATCCAAGATGGAGGACAAGGAGCAGCTTCCTGAAGAGATGGAACCATCTGATGGGGATTTTTTAATGGGCACTGCAACTGTAGGAAAAACACATAAAATACATTGCTTAGAAATGGAAATTTTGGGCTCAATTGTGGTTGTAAAATCAAGGACTACCTGTACATAGTTCAAGAAGATGCAACGGCCAGCTAAAAGTCAGACAGAAACAGATGCAGATATCACTGACCAAATCAATTTCATGTCCTGCCACTTAAGCACAATTTGGACAACAGTGTGAAATGGTTCTCCAGAATGGTTCTTTGGACAGGGCACCAATTCAGCTTTTCTTGGCAAAGAATTTAGAAGAAACTAGATGCAGAAATATTCTTGTGCACAATATTTGCAACCTTGCTTTCCTCATGTATTCAGGACTGTCATTTCAAAAATCCTGTCATTTTTCCCCCCACCAAGTTCTTGGAGAAAAAACACAAACCCTGACCTGGCGGGGGAGGTCGCTGGGGAGGCTGAGGCTGCCGAGGCCTACCGGGCACGGATAGAGACCTGTTTGGGGAGCGATGACAGAACTCCGCACTTTCTTCAAACTCTTGTTTTAGTTCAACCAAGTCAGCATCATCTAGTGAACATGGCAAAAAGAACAGAAAAATAGAAAAACAAAATGCTACTGAGAAAAATGGATGACACTGAAATTAACCAGGTAGGAAGGAAACTGAGAAATAACCATACAACACCTAAGATGTGCTTGCTTCATGGGGAAAATTCCCAAGGATTCTATGAGCCACATTCAATTATTGACATCTATCAAAGAGCAATGTATCAGAGTTAAAGCAACTGATCCAGACATTGCCTCCTGTTATTCCTAGTGGTGAAACAATTAGTCATAAGGGAGATTAGTCAGGAATCAAGTGGCCTGTTTTGCTAATCCTCCATGAATGATGGCACAAAGTTTGAGCTACATGACTGACTCAGAAAGCATAATAACAAGAGATTTCCAAAACCGATATGAGTGCATATAACGTCCCCAAAGCAGTAAAGGCAAAAGTTATGGATGGCATAGACATTAACACACCTAAACCACCCTAATCAAGTTTGCTCATTAATCCTTAAGAAGAGCTCAAATTAAATTACGATATATCTCCAGGGCAACATCACCCTGTCCCACAAAGTCTCAGTCATTAACGGAAAAACCTATTATATCATTAATTATCTGAATAGCTGTAACATAGAGATAACTTTGTCTACGTAATTGGGTTTACTTATTCCAATAAAAAAGCCTTCTTTGAATGACCCAACCAACTTTTACGACTATGGCTTCATTTGTCTTTCATCATGAAAGGATGGATACCTTTATACAGACATGGTTTTCTTCCAGCAACATGTGATTTGTTTGCATGTGTGGTAGACACCGTGCTCACATATTCTGATCCGTCTCCCGATTCTTCCATTGTTGATACTGTTTCTGTTTCAAATGGTCCGGGACGCAACGTTTCATCCAAATAATCATCTTCCTCATCTAAGATATCACCTAAATTGGAAAGTGTTACAGCGGAATGAGGAAGTTGAAGAAATGTTATTTTCTTCCAACATTTCAGCTAAAACAAAGGGGATGGGTTTTTTTTTTTACAAATTATTTTAATCTGCAAAGAGAATGGCAACCCATCTCAGTCAGCCTCCATGGAGAAAGAGCCCTCCTGACCAAACCTTATACTTTTTACCTACACCTTAGGCCACGTACCTTCTGATTCATAATCTAAACTTGAAAAATCAAAGTTTTCTTCCAGCAGACAGGAATTTGCTGTGGGTGACATAGGAGCAATACTGTCCCGTTTCCTAGCAATTTCCTCTTGAAGGCCTTTCAGCCAATCTTTGGTTTTAGGACAAATCTTCACAATCCTGCCTTTAATCTAGACATAAAATTCCAATACATTATTTTTCCTGTAATAAAGCGAACTATTACTCATAAGCAAGACCCAGATATTAACACAAAGCAAAGCAATGGGGGTAGTCCTCAACGTACGATCACAATTGAGCCCCAACATTTCTGTTGCTAAGTGTAATATTGGTGAAATGAATTCTGCCCCGTTTTACGCTCTTGTTATAGTTGTTAAGTGAGTCACTGAAGTTGTTAAATTAGTAACATGGTTATTAAGTGAATCTGGCTTCCCCACTGATTTTGCATGTAAAAAGGTTGCAGAAGGTGATCACATGACCCTGAGAGACTGCAGCCATTATAAATACGAGTCAGTTGCCAAGTGTCTTAATTTTGATCATGTGACCCTGGGGATGCTGCAAAGGTTGTAAGTGTGAAAAACAGTCATTAAGTCACTTTTTTCAGTGCCCTTGTAACTTTGAACGGTCACTAAATGAACTGTTTTAAGTCAAGGAATGCCTGTAGTCTGTTCAGTGAATTGAAGACAAAAGACTTTGATATATATTTAAAGAGCATTAGTACTATTGCAGATTAGAGATATTTGACTTTTTCAGAGATATATCGTTGTATCAGTAATTGGTTTTAACAGAGTGCCATTCATTCGTATGCCAATTTTTAAAGAAAAAAACTGGAAGCAATTAAGCTAAATATCCTGGATTCCATGTGTTTTTTTTTTTAATTCTGTTTCTCTATTTGTATCATTATTACTGATAATGGAAGAAGGAGAACAAGTTTCCTTATGTGCCAGGACAAAAAAACCACTTATAAATAGACAGCGATTGCCAAGTTCTCTCTAGTGGTCAATTAGTAAATAATTATTTCCCAATTTGTATTTTCTAAAATCCTCCTTAAAAGGCAGCTAATTTAGTTTCTAGTATAGAATGGACAGTGTTCCAGTTACCTATTATGTAGTTTTTAAAAATTAACCTCCAGGTGTTTTTATCAAATCCCTAAACAATACAAAAATTGATTTTTGCGGAGTAACTGCAAAAGGTGGCATATTAAAAGTAACAAATTATGTCATGACCTCCATATAAAAGCTCATTGCGTTATAAATGAGTTTATTCATTGATGTTTCAAAGGAATCTTCTTGGTTAGAGGTGTTTTCTGGTCTAACAGCTTGACATTTTCAGATCAATTCTTTGGAAACCATTTTAACAGCTAACATTTTGAAAAGCTGATCCACCTAAAACTACAAGCTGGGGTTCAGAAATTCTATATGGGAAAGATGTCTATATTTGCCACCAGCAAGGCCAACAGTTAATGTTGGCTGGTTTTCTCTCAACAAAATAGCCACCGTGAGAGGATTTACTTGGTCACTCAAGTATTCCAAATAGTACAAGCAGCTTTAATTGGTGTTTTTTTTACCTTGATGCCATCCACATCAAGAACGTGAAGAGCAGATCTGCTTTCTGAAAATGTAACCAACATTTGATCTCCATTGATCCTAACAAGAATAGACACAGATCAAATAAACTCTTGACAGAACTAATTTCTAAATCAGCCATCAAATAAGTAGATAGGAAAGCTGAGTTGTTTCTTCTTAAAAATGGTGGGTTAATAATTGAACATTAATTCATTGTTATTGAACTATTATTACATTAACAAGTTTTCAGCCATCAATGTTCTCTAACAGCATTATATTTTACTGGCATGGATCCCTAACTTTTTACTCCACAATTTTAAGGAAACCCTATTAATAAAAGAAGAGTTTATTATTTGTTTGATAGATTTATAACCCACTCTTCTTCTGGAATTATATTAATGGAACAATTCCTTATATACGAAGAGTCTCATTCCATGAGGGAAGCTCTCTTCGAAATTAAGATCCAAAGATTATTTTCTAAAATGAGCATCATATTTTACCTGACAAGCACAACAGTGCCATAAGTCTCAAAGATCTGCATAAGCTCCACTTGACAATCCTCAGGAAATTCATCTTTCTCTTCAGGGGAACAGTACAATAGAGACACCACCACTGTAGCATCTAGAGGTCCCTGAAATGATGATACTTCCTGGAAAACATTATCCCTAGCAGACACATCAACTTCTTGCATTTCCACTTCCACAATAGCTAAAACAGGCCTACAGAGAGATAGTAAGGGAAGAAAAAAAGTTTAAAAGGATTACAGAAAGTAGATAAGAGGACAGGAGATAAAATGCTGACAGGTTATTGAAAATCAGTTGTGTAACACAACTATTTGAAATCATTTAGATCTGCTTAATATTACTGTTTGATTACTTGGTTTCTCAAACAATTTTTTCCGCATAATTTACGTAGCATATTACATCTCTGTTTAATAATGAAAAAATAGCTATAAATAATTGCCTAATAGGGGAAAAGACAATGAATCAGTAGTCACAGGGAGGCTTGAAATTATTTGATTTATCTACCCATGTTGACTCCACACAATTTCCAGGAGTCCAGAGACACAATAAAACAATCCTAACAATTACTTCATTATTTAATTTGGCAGAGGTACTCTGTTGCATACAATGTAGTTTTTTTCCCCAGTTTTCAGATTGTGCCTACATATATCCAAGTTCGTATGCAACTTAAATACATATACAAGAATGAAGAATGACATTCAGCAGGTAGGATTAGGCCCTCCAGCTATTGCTAGCTAAATCTTCCAGCAGCTCTAATCAGTGTGACAAAGGTAAGTGACAGGTCTACCATTTCTGCTCCAAAACTGCTTCCGTAAGAAACAAGAAATGAATTTTGATATAGGAATATTCTATATAGTGATTCCACAAAGCGGCATGGAAATGTTGGAACATCATTATCCATAAGATCTATAAAAGCCTTGATGTTCCCGAGAACTTGGCAGAATGCTACTGTGCAAGAGATAACATGGGAATCTCCCCTGGAATTCCTTCTAAAGTTGCAAAGAATGGCAATATTGTTGTGAGGTTAAACGGATAATTCAGCTGTTAAGGCAAAGTCCAGCCCCACCTCACAAATATATAAACACGTGTATAGACTATTTTTCTATGAGCTCTGCCAATTTTGATGATACTGTTTTGCAATTTGAATTATCAGATTTGGGGCATGTGTTACCGACATATAATATAAAAAAATGCACTAGCATGACTAGAGTAGGACTAAACACAGATTCAGAATTGTCCAGTACATCTACCACAGAAGATCCATGATTATCCAGCTTCACACAATCACTAAGAATAGCTGATTGAGTTCACATTATTGTTAGTACTTGTCTTTTAGTTAATCTGATAGCCAAATAAACATTTTAGGGAGGACACAGATGTCTCTGTGACAAATGATTAAATGTGTTGTTGTGACTTCACAATGCAACCCTGTGACTCTGTGTTTCTAATGTCAGGTCACCGGTATAAAAGGTCACTGTTTAAGCCATAATATCATCATATACAGGAGATATTAAAAAATATCTACACATCCCTGTTAAAATGTCAGGTTTTTGAGATGCAAAAAAATCAGACCAAGATTGATCACTTCAGAATTTTTCCACCTTGACATAGCATATTAAATTGTTATTTTCCCCCCATAAAAGATTTCAGTTTGTTTTTCAATTGAACCATACAGCCTATATGCTATTTTAAAGATAGAAAAAGTCTAAAGTAATTTATCTATCTTTGTCTGATTTTTTTATATACAGTATATCTCAAAAGCCTGGCATTTTAACAGGGGTATCCATTGTACTTTTGGCCATATTTGCTTATTTTTATACTTAAAAGGGGGTGGAGGAAATAGGCTTCAAATCTACACTGTCAGTGTCATGTTTAGCAGGAATCAACCTAAGATTCATTTCAGAAATCTTGCAGGTTAAATCTTTAAATGACTAAAGGATCTCATTGATCCGAACTAAAGAATTTCATAACTCAGAAGTTATTTTAGCCTCTCAGCAATGGTCAATATTTGTGATAATTTATAGTTGCTTTATAATGAATCAATCTTTGGTTCAACTAGCCCAATTCTATTTATTCTGCTCCCCAGTAGTGATTTTCTGGGGTCATAAAAAGAGATCACTTTAAATGGAGAAACTATCTGTTACATCTGGGTTTTTTAAGCGCAGTGGTTAGAATGTAGTACTGCAGGCTAATTCACTGCTCACTCCAAGAGTTCGATTCTGAGCGGCTCAAAGTTGACTCAGCCTTCCATCCTTCCGAGGTTGGTAAAATGAGGATCCAGATTCTTGGGGACAATAAGCTGACTCTGTAAACCGCTTAGAGAGGGCTGTAAAGCACTGTGAAGCGGTATATAAGTCTAAGTGCTATTGCTATTTATAAGCGCAAAACATGTGTTCCGTGACACTCCAGAAAAGAAGATGGTACCTGTGGTCACTGGCCTGGAGCTCAGCTCTTCCATAATACATCAAGGCACCAGGAGACCAAATGGGTCTGACTTTGGTTTCAATGCTGAGATCACTATCAAGAAGACTGACTTGTCCTGCTGTGAAAAAACAAAACAACACATTTAGAATTAAGAATAATCAGGGCTTTTTTTCTCATAGAACGCCCAGAACGGAGTTTTGGCACCTTTTTTGGATGGAACCTTGTAGGGTAGGCAAGGCGGGTTGTATGACGTGTGTGAGTTCCGGCACCTTTTTTTTCTTTTTTAGAAAACAAGCACTGAGAATAATTAAGGCAAAGTTTCAAGCATTGCTCCATAACCATGTGCCTGATTCACACGTAACAGCAAAGCATAATGGCTGAGGTTGTTTCTTTTTTATTTAAGCCATTAATCAGGGTTTAAAAAACTATAGGAGATGCACAAACCCCTTCACTAAATCAAAATTAAACAAACTCACCGTTATTTTGACTAGCTATGTTGCCTGCATGATAGCTCATCATTCATATGGCATTAAGTAGACAGGAAGGATGTAAATGAACACAATTATATTACAGGAGTCTTGCAGCAGAACAAGTAATAGAATATGTTACAACAGAATATGATAAATAATACCAATTCCTGTACGTTCATAATTTACACGACCACTCATGAAGTTAAAGCAATAATCTGGGCTCTCTACTGCATATAAATAGGAACTGACACAAAACAGCATTTCCCAAATGTCTTGGGTGCAGAAAAAGGCCTTCTGGGATTACCAAGGCCAGAAAATGCTTAATCTAATTAAGGATGAAATATAACTAAAAAATTGTTGGTTTGATAGAAACCAGAATAAAACTATCCCTAGTATTTAAGTTAATAAGTAAAATTCTTACAGAATCAGACTTTCTGCACACAAGTAAATATTGTAAGTAATGAGAGAACCACTGGATTATTTCTTAGATCAGTTTCATGCCCTCTTCCCAAGGAATATTTTCTCAATGGTGTGAACTACATTCCATTAACGAAAAAGTGTTCTTTGCAAAACTATGCAAAACCTCTGAAACTACGAAGTTTCAGAACTGAGCACTGATTTTTATGTTGAACATTATAAACAACCAAACCCGCTGTTTCTCAACCTTGATTACTTTAAGATGTGAAGGTTTCAACTCCCAGAATTCCCCAGTCAGCATGCTGACTGGGGAATTCTGGGGGTTGAAACCTTCACATCTTAAAGTAATCAAGGTTGAGAAACACTAATGCAGGGGCCTTCAAACTTGGCCCTTTTATGACTTGTGGACTTCAACTCCCAGAATTCCTCAGCCAGCGTGTCTGGCTGAGGAATTCTGGGAGTTGAAGTCCACAAGTCATAAAAGGACCAGGTTTGAAGACCCCTGCACTAATGTAAGCCAAAGAATTCCCCAGAAAAGAGTAAAAAGGATCTCACTAACCTGTTTTATCAATTGGAAGTTTCTTCCTCCACCAAAGAACTCTGTCAGTCCATGCTGGAGTTCTACATTTATCGCTTGTATCATAAGCCTCAGAGCCAACATCATATTTATATGTGGGGCCAAAATTAATAGTTCCTTCATGAAAGTCCTTAAAAATCTATTGAAGAAAATATTGTTAATCTAAAATAAGGTTTATAGAGCTAGCCATGCACATCATCTTATCTCATCTCATCTCATTCTGTATCCACTGGGAAGGCTTTAAATAGTTTACAGCACAATCATAAAAAGAACAGCACAATAAAACATACATGCTATAATTAACTCTGTAAGTATAAATAAGAACACAACTTCAGTAATATATACAAACTAATAAATTAGAAGCATCATTTCAAACTTTGAAGATCCTCCAAAATACTTCCATTTTTAATAACTCGGAAAAGAAACTGTTGTAAAATAGCAGCGTGGATATTGATCAAATTTCAGTTGCCATAATACAAGTGTTTTTCATTTGCCTCAAGTAATGACAGCAATGGGAACTGGAATTTCCATTGCTAAGTGATGCAGTCATATTGCTTAGTGATGACAATCAGGTGGCCAGGGAGCCATGGCTTGAACATGGTGGGGCTTAGAGTGTCTGCTACGCAACGGGGAAGGGGCATGAATGGTTGGGCAGGTGTAGAATGAGTACACAACTCAGGGAGAGTGCACAGGTGGTGAGTGCATTGGGGTTTGAGGTGGCTGCAGCTGGGTATGGGAGGGTGCATGGGGGGTGTATGGCAGGGGAGGCGTGGCGCAAGCACAGTGAGGTTCAGGGAAATGTGTGAGGGTGTGTGAGTGGCGGGTGCAGCAACGCTCTGGGGGGATGTACAATTGGCATAGGAGGCGCAGAGTGAGTGCAGAAAGGTTGGGAAAAGTACATAAGGGAGTGATTGTGGCTTGTGAGGCAGGGCTCAAGAGTACAGGGCCTGAGGGACGATGTGCAGGTGGGGGAGACTTACCTGAGCAACTTGTGACCTTCCCTGCTGGCTTCCCCATTGATTTTGCTTGTGGGACGCCAGCAGGGAAGGTCGCAAATCTTGATCAAATAACCGCAGGATGTTGCAACCATCGTTAAGTGTGACATCTCTACCTTTCCACTAGATTTCTGTTGCTGCAGTTGATCAGATTCCAGGAGAGTCTTCCAGTCTTGTCGTTTGAGAAAATAAAATACTTCTTCATAAGTCAAGTCAATGCGATAGTTGAAATCACCACACCAGAAAACATAGTCATGAGAAAACATACTTCTTCCCTGTTCAAGAAAAAAAAAATATCATTAAACTACAACATTGTTAAATTCTTCATCAACTCAGTTATATATAAAGGCTTGTTGTTGTTTTCTTCCATTCACTGCCTGGACAAAACCCTGCAGGTTTTTCAAAAGTGGCTTGCCATTACCTACTTCCTAGGGCTGAGAGAAAGTGACTGGCCCAAGGTCACCCAGCTGGCTTTGTGTCTAAGAAACTAGAACTAGAACTCAAGGTCTCCTCATTTTTCTAGCTTGATTTTTTTTAACCACTATACCAAACCGGCTATTTTTTTTTTAGTTAGAGGTTAACTGAAATAAAGTTAGATTTTTTTTTAATCCAAGTTCATAGGCTCCTAGCATCAATCCATGAACCCCTATGTGATCTCAGACTAAGAGCCCCTGATCTAAACAATCTAAAAGATACTGCACATATTATTATTGGAAAGGTACCATAAAGAAAATAAGTTCTGAACCAAAGCATCACTAGAGGGCGCTGTTAATAAAGCTATATTAAAGCTATATTAAAGGTGAATTTGCCAATGTAATTTTGCAAATATAAACTGCTTAATTAGGCAATGATTGGTATGGGCATTTACAAGAATTATTCTGCAAAAATTGAAAGCATCTTTTAAAGGCATTAAGGTTTCTAGCACATTAATGTCTGAGTTATACTCTGAATCCTGGAAACAGAGAAATACCAGTAGCTACTAACATCTTTTAATCTTTAAAGAAATGTTTGAAGAAGAAAAAGTGCACAGATACGAAAAATCTAATGAAGTACCCACTTGTCATGATAGCAAATCAACCTCTTCTTTGCCATAAGATTTTAGAAAGAGAGATGTTAAAGTTCTAAGGGTTATAGCAGGGGTAGTCAACCTTGGCTCTTTTATGACTCGTGGACTTCAATTCCCAGAATTCCTGAGCCAGCTAAGCTGGCTCAGGAATTCTGGGAATTGAAGTCCACGAGTCATAAAAGAGCCAAGGTTGACTACCCCTGGGTTATAGCATGGTTTGTCATTGCTCTTAAGTTCTGAGAATTAATAACAATGCGTGGTAAAAACGTGTTCAGTGGAAATGGGAGTAATTTGTAATTTATAAAAAATATTGCATTCTTTCCACCAATAAAACAAGTTAAGGACTTCAGAAATTTAAGTGAATATGCAGTACTTAATTAGAAATAAGACAGTAACCCAAGTCTTAGTAGACTTCCTTTCATAACCATGAAGCCATCGCTTCCTTCTTTCATTACCACTTGACCTAATGACATTATCAAATTTCTTCTGTGACCCAGCTGGCCACAATCACCTTAAGAAGCCTCTTTCTGAACGCTACAAAATGTTTGGGGGGAGGGGAGAGGAAACAAGGCTTTGTAGGGAAACCAAAAGTTTTCTGTAATTTGTTCCTTATGGTTAGAATTTCAGCTTCTATTTTACAGTTTTGTTTATGTTACTCAGCAAAGGAAAGGTACATTACATTAATGGATTAAAATTATTAACATGGATAAACATAACACTTTTAAGGGAGCGGGAGGCCTGAAAATTATCTTCTCTACCAAACAGCACTAAAATCTTTATCGTATTGCTTGAAAGTCTTCTTTGCTGCCTCTTTGAAAAAAGATTAATTGGGATGTTAAAAAACAACTGCTACAAACGAACTGTTGCCACAAATCAGGTGTTGATTTCTGCTTCCACTGCTGTGTGGTAATTTAATTTTAGTTAATTTAGTTAAATGCCTCCAAAATTTACAATTCTTGATATCTTGACAGGTTCTAAATACTATGGATACAATCAGCAGGAATGTATCAAACATTTAGCAACTGATCTGGGGTCAAATTAACAAAGGGCAAGATCAAATGTTCTGAGTTAATTTTCTGCAAAATCTTTGTAAAAAATATTAATGAAGGCCACTATACACGAGGCAATGCATATTGTATTAATTTCACATTTTTGTCTCTTTTGCTATCACTATCTCTGTATTTCGAAGCCTGTATTCTCTATATTGTATTTACAATACATGCTTGAAAGTCTGAGGTTGCGGTATAAACCCTGGCCCAAGTGCATAAATCCCTTCCAGGGATTTATTACTGATTTCTTATTTTAAAAGAGTTATAAACCCTTCAGGTTGACTCTGAATGGTACAAAATTCCCATCTTCATAAATTCAGATGAAGTTTGAGTGTCGCAATATAATACAAATAGCAGTAGCAAAACATAAATAACTGCAACATTTGTACACAGCAACACAATAAAACAGCAAAATACAAATATTAATATTAAATATCTAATTATACACACACATTTATTAATTTAAACATAGCAATATCAATAGTAGCAATAAAATAATGGGCAAAAAGACAAAAATGTTTTAAAAAAGGAATGTCATAATCAATAGATCAAAAATTAAAATATCCTTCCTAGTATCATTCCAGTCCTGATGGTCTAATGGTACAGTCTCATTTTAATGGGTCTTCTGAAAACCAGGATGGAAGGGAAGATTTTAATGTTAGCAGGCAAGCTACTGCAAACAAAGAGGTTGCAGCTGAAAACGCACACTTTCAAAGTCCTTCTAGATCAAAGGTCTCCAACCTTTCTGGGCTCGCAGCCCAGAGGGAAGGAGAGAAGCTTCAAAATTAGTGCGCGCACGCACGCAAACGGGGCCATGTGCACTGGCGCGGCACTAGCATCCTCGTTCACGCATGCAGCATGTGCAAACGAGCTGTGCACACCCGCCTGGCACTAGTGGCCAGATTTGTGCCTGTGTGCATGTGCAAATGGGGCCGCAGGTGCTAGCGCGAGTGGGAGGAATGTGTGCCCACACATGCGTGCGCCGGCCAGCCATTTCCGCAGCCCGCTAGCCAAGAGCCCGCAGCCCGGTCCAAGGCTGCGGCCCATAGATTGGGGACCCCTGCTGTAGATTACACTCCCTAAGAGGAAGGGGCCTGGGTTGAGCCATTCTTAATTTTTACAGGTAGGCAGAAAGGGAGAAAGTAGTTCCCCAAATGTCTAGACCAGTGTTTTTCAATTTTGACAACTTTTAAGATGTGTAAACCTCAATTCACAGAATTCCCCATCTAGCATGCTGAGTGGAGAATTCTGGGAACTGAAGTCCACACATCTTAAAATTTCTCAAGGTGCTTTAAAGGGGATAGCAAGCACCTTGAATTGCATCTGGAATCATACTGGCAAGAATATCTACTTAAACTGCTGCATTCTAGAACAGTGTTTCTCAACCTTGACAATTTTAAGGCATATGGACTTCAACTCCCAGAATTCCACAGCCAGCAATGCTGGCTGTGGAATTCTGGGAGTTGAAGTCCACATGCCTTAAAATTGTCAAGGTTGAGAAACACTGTTCTAGAACACTTTCTCTTCTTTTTCCCCCAATTCCTAACCTTTCCTACTGCCTCTATTAGTTTTATGCTACTGGCTGGTAGGTAAGGAATTGACCTATTAAAATGTATTGTTCAGGACTTAAATTTTTAAAGAACCGAATGAATGAATGAATGAATGAATGAATGAATGAATGAATGAATGACCTATGCAAAAAAGTGACTGGTAACAGGGAGCACACCTTACATGAACACGCTGAGTGTAAAAAGGTAACTTTGGGTAAAATAAAAATCACATGCACTTAGGTGTTTCCCAATGTGTATTTTTAATCCTGAAAAATGTGCAAATTCAGCACCACTGTAAATGAAACTTTCCCCAGACCTTACCATTGGGAAACTCAGTTTCTGAGTGATCTCTTTATAGTCTTCGTTCCGTTCTTTTATCTGAGACTGACCAGCTGTCAAGTGGCTACATACAAAGCATAAGCTGGTGCTATGAAATTGGAAACGGATGGCAACTGCTCCTTTGTTTCCAGCTTTTCCTCTCATTCCAGTCTTTACTGTGTCCACTGCTATATCCCTGGGCAGAAGGTGATAAAACCCAAAGCAAAAAAATTAAACTTTTAGGAAGAATTTGAAAATTCTGAACAAGCAATTTGTTTTAGTCTTGGTTCTTTCTAAACAGAGCATCTCCATTCATGGATGGAATGTGGATCCATTGGAGATTCCTGATGGAAGAACGAGTGGAATTTTTCTTATTTCCCATTTTCTCTGGTGCAAAGATGACCAATCTATGGCATTCAGGCTACATATTGTCCCACAGAACCCATTCTTTGCCTCTGGTTTCATCCCGATTATATAGATCTGGCCACAAAAATGCTGATCTTCAACAATGTGATGTGTCTTTCTGCAAAACTAAGGGGCCAAAACAACCACTACATCCTTTAAAGCCCTCCAATTGCCCGCAAAAGGACCACAAAGGTTGGTTGTGTCCAGCCTATTGGCATTATCCCAGCACTGGCAATGCTGTTGGCAAAAAAAATAAATCCAATATAGATATTGGAGATCTCCTCCCTCCAGCAAAAGATCAGCAAAACCCCACTGACACAAGCCAATTACTAGAATGCATGAAAACATCAAAGATCACTCCAGTTGTTCCTTGCCAGTGTCCAATTAAATACCCCAGTGAGCTGCTCTTCCCCTACCCCCTAAAAAACCATGCTGAAGATGTCAACAAACATCTGGTCATTCACATATATAGACCAGCTATCTGCAGCAGACATTCCTTGTTACATTTAAGAGTTTCAGTTCATGTGGACACATATACGTGTAGAGCCAGAATCCTAATTGCAGACAATGGTGTTATATTGTGAAGATCATTTGTTCAGTGATACCACAGGTGTAACTTACAGAAAAAAAAGTATCATCTAATCAAAGTCAGGTCTCTGCACATGGTCTGAGGTGCAAGCCATACCAAAAGAAAGAAATATAGAAAGCTTGTGCTGAACTCAGTGACATTAACTAGTCTGTGTATGACCATAACTTAATACCACTAAACTATCCTTACATCGATTCTTATCATATTATGATAGGAAAGATAATTGTGTAACCCATGCAACCCAAAAACTCCCAGCAAAATTGCAGAGTAATTTTTGGTCAGCAAGAGGTACACATCTTGCATTTTCTTAAAACAACAACAATAAAAGCAAACAAGAGACCCCCCACAATTATTAAATTATTAAATTGATAGAAGAGTGGGAAAATAATTGATAAATAAAGTACACAAGCCACATTTTTCCTGTTCTGCCTACTTTTTGATACATCAGTTCAATCCTCAAACTAAAGCTGGCACATACAAGTCTCTGGTGGAAGTTTCTCCAGGAAACTGAATATGAGATGTTAACCACAGACCCTTATTAATGAAAATTTTCTGTTTAGCATCTTAGACTAAGCTTTGAATAGAAATGTGTACTCTTCAGATTTTAAGTGAGAAGGTGCTTAAGATCTGGCCTGAGCACATTCACTCTGCTTTATGGTGACTCCCTAAAGAAACTATATCTTCGGTTCATCCAGTAGTTTTGAGACCTCAAGAAAATATATGTTTCATTTAAGGCAGGGGTAGGCAACCTTGGCTCTTTTATGACTCGTGGACTTCAACTCCCAGAATCCCTGAGCCAGCCACCCCTGATTTAAGGGATTGTTAAGGAGGTGATAAAAACCCATGTACAGGTGTCACCTGGTGGTGCTTCTTCCTTAACTCAAACACTTATTTTGCTGGGATCTTGAGGATACTGTGCAAAATGTCTTTCAAGAATTACCAACAGGTAGGGAGAATCTGCCCATGGCAAATCTAAAGGATTTTTTCCTATTTTTGGATCTGAATATCATACACAACTTGTTTGGCGTAACAATATTTTGAACCTGCAAGGTTATATAAACTGTCACAACTTGAGAGAAACAACTTTATATATTCTGCATGCCATTCTTCATTCTGCCAACATCAATCTATGCAGACAGCTATTTTCAAGGAACATGCCATTATGCTTGCCCTGAAATACAATTTTGTAGCGGAGGGCACAGTGTGTTGCAATAAAGATCTCAAAACCCACTCATTTTATTATGTGAATTATTCAAGCAGAATGCAATTCAAAGAGAGAGGAATTTATTGAGCGTGCTCCTCTTTCTTTCTGGCATTTCTTGTAGTTTTTTTATTGCCCAGCAATGATATATTTTGGAAAGTATATACCTACAATAATTATTTAAACTGATAAAAACATTAAAAAAAATTAAATAGCATAGGATAAAATAAAATCAACACTACCAACAGAATATGAAACAGTCAAAAATATTAAAAAAAACTAATTTTATAAAATAACTTTTATGAATCCTAACATAATTTTCTGAATAAAAAAAAATCAACACCTATGTTTTGCTAAGTCTTTGATGAAAGGATGGGAGGATGTAAAAGTATTTAAGTAATACTGTAAGTATTGTGCCTAAGTGTGGTTTACCCATGACATGAACATATAGTCATGATTATCATAGGGTATGAGTATGGGCTTAATTCATTATAATCTAATTTTTTTATGGAGAAAGTGTGTATCTCTCCTAGCAAAACATATATACTCAGGAACAGATGCAAGAGTAGAAAAGAACAAAAAGCCATTACTTGTTTCCATCTCTGAACATCTAGCTGTCTGCCATAAACAATTAATATTTGAAGTGCTCCTAACTATATGAAGAAATGGGGAAGAAGAATAAACTATGATTCATCTCAGAAATACGGGAATACAGAAAATTCATTTTGAAAAACAAAGTAATTATTGCAGTCCACCTTGGTGAGAAGAACCAACAAAACCAAGTAACTCTGATTTTCCTCCAGGCTATTTAAATCAGAATTAGAAATAAACACAGTTGTTCCTTAATTATTATTTCCATTAAAGAAAATCTACAATTGGTCACAATCTCTCCACAAAGTTGTCACATAAAAACAGAAGCAAGAAGAACTACCTTATATAGGGAACATGGAAAGGTCTTACAAAAATGAAGAGGCAAACACCCACAAGCTGGGCTGAGGTCAACAGAATATATCGATGTGTTCTTGAAAGAGCCTTCTGAATCTGTTCTCCCCATATCTTCTTATTGGTTGTGCTAAAAAAAATAGTTATGTCTTTGAACATACTGTTTCATCAGATAATTTAACAAAATTCCATGAAGCATTCTATGGATTTGAGCAAAATGGTTTTTAGTCCTAACTATGGACTAAAGTAGTTGGACTAAAGTAGTAGGCTATTATTCAATTATGTGTATTTACATGTATCAATATGACATTTTGGAATTTATATGATGAAGCTAAATTCATACTGAAACTAAATTCCCCTCCCACACTCAGCAATCTTGACTAAAGTCATCAGACTCTAGAGATGTGTAATCATTTTATTTATTATATTTATATAAAACCACTGAAGATTATTATATCCTAGCTAGTTTATAGCATGTAGTATTAAAATACATTTTAATGACAGAGCATCAAATAACTATTTGAACTATATCTTTTTTCATATGGATATTTTTATACCAGACATAAATATGTCTGGTATAAAAATATCCATATGAAAAAAGTTAATTAACAAATACTGAACACACTCATTTCAGGAATTTGAGAATAACAAAACTTATGATAGTTCTGAAATTATCATGAATAAGGAATTCAATGAGCCTCTCAGACAGGAATTGAAACAATGCAGTTCGACAATTCAATGTCAACGTACCTCGCATTCACAATATTGCCAGCATTTAATTCTACCATTTCTTCAAATCCTACAGCAAATATGTCGGCGGGACAATGATCATCTGTTGTGATGGGGAGGGAAAAATCAAACATAAGAATTGATTTGCAACTTAATCTAATTACTCCATTTCAGGAAGGAAGATAAACACTAATATATGAAGCTCGCCTGCCCAAATGCACGTAATTAGTTCCTACTAGACGTATCTAACTTTGTTACCCTTACAGTGGAACTGGGCAGTCCCAAATGTCATCCTCATATATTCACACACACATACAAATACATACAGATGCATATTTTTATCGTATCACCTGTAGTACTTTTTATTACCTTGAAACTCTGAAACCCCACAGAGTTTAGGGGAATCAAGTAACCAATCTGTTAATTCGCTGGTACCAAGGATGTTACTCTTAAACTGTTTGCCTCCATTTACATTCCAGGTCCCCATGGCAACACGAATTCTCTTGAAGTTTGTGAATTCAAATTGACGCTCTGACATGATTTTCAAAGTGCTTGGTGTCACTAATGGAGATGAGGAAGGAGAGGAAGGAAAGCTATTTTTTTCCTTAAACTATGAACCATGGCAGTGATTACAAATTATCTCTTGATAATTATTTTGCTATCATGCTTCCAAGTATTTCCTTTATAAGTCTGAATGCAGGATAAGCATGTTAAATTATATTGAAGCCTTTACAGCAATAATGTTTCTTACTAGCGAGAGTTCATATGTAGGCACATGGATAGTGTGAGAACATTTTTGCATGGTACATACATAGTTTAAAAATAGGGACATGATCTTTGCAGATTCCACCCTCCTTCAGTGTTCTGAAAGATCATCCAACTTTCTAGAGAAGATTGAATTGGCATTATGGATTAGAGGATCAAGAATAAAAAAATGGTGGAGATCATCAGGTCCTTTATTCTATCAGTAGGATTCTATTGCTGTATTAAAATCTCCCACTAATGGACGGAACCTTTCACTTGTGAGACACTGATTTTGAATACAATGAAGAGAATGGCTGAGTATCCTACTGGGAAGTCTTAAGATAAGATAACCTTTATTGTCATTTTTTATTGTGGGCACAACGGCACATATCAAAAATGAAATTTAGTTGCCCGCTCTCAAAAGTGAAACACATACATGACACACACCTAAACCCACATCCCTATATATACGTAGCAAATAAATATTAAATACTGCCCGTCTTGAATATATAACGGAAGGAGGAAGCTTGAGAGTTCACAAGGTTAATGCTGTATGGGATGAAACTATGGCTGAATCTGGATGTTCTGCTACGGATACCACAAACGTAATGCTGATTTTTTTTCTAATATGAAATCTTGTGCAGCTTATTTAAGTGAATTACTCCCAAGAAATATACAAGACTAGATAAGACTGCAGAGCTATTGAAATAAAACGATCTTGCTTACTCAGTAATGCCGTATGATCCAGCAGCATTCTCTCTTCTTCATTGTAAAAATCACCCATAAGCAGTAAATCAATGGCTTCCTGTTTCACGCTATCAAAAAAGTTTGACTGAATGGTCAGTGATACTGACCGGGCACCGTCTTTAAATTTCCCAACCTACATAAGAATAGGAGTAATAATTTAATTTCATAGTTATTGAAATGTCACAGAATAACTGAGGCTCACTTTTTCCTTTACCTTAGCTTTTCCTTCTAAAGCACGGCTGCCTGTAAAAATTCTGCTTAGACTGTGCCCATTGAGAGCCCACATTGCTTTGTAAGATTCCAAAAAACGTTCAACTATAGGTTTGGAATTTAATCCCAGGCTTTCGAGTTGACTTTGGAGAACCTGATTTGAAAAAAAGGAAAGTACAGTGCAGAATGAGACAGGACAACAATCAAATTTCCCACCCCCATAATATCCAATGTTTGCTCATAATTCCTCTTGTAAGGGTTTTGTTCAAACTCTCAGAAGCTGAATGTTCTATCACTTACCTCAAGTGCTATGAAGGTTTGGACGGCATTAGTTCGATTTAGACAATCCAGACAATTCATTCGAATGGTACCCATCTGTTGACTTCAAAAAACAAGTCAAACAACTAAAAGAATTAGTACTGTGCCTCCCCCTATAAGTTGAATATTCTACTGAACAATTCTAGCATGAAAATTTAGGACTCTATGGACAATAAAAGTCTTAAAGCAGAGGCACAAATTATAACAATTCAATTTATTCATTGCTAGCCTCTTGGCCACAATTGATCAAGGATCTGCATCTGGAATGCTGCAATTGGCTAGATCAGTTTTCCCTCAGAACCGTAGCCCAACTCTGAGTGGAAAAGCAACATTTTACATGTTGATTCCCATACATCATAAGAACAATTAATTGTAACTATTATAGGAATCATGATTCATATTAATTTACTTTACAAATGGATGAGATTGAAACATCAGCAACAGATATGAGGTGTCCAAAAGTGTCACCAGCTTTCCAGACTGTTCCATATGTAAAAGTGATGAAAAGATAGCATAAAATACCCACAAATGTAAAGTTGGAGCATGAAAAAGTGTTAAATAAAAAGCACAAATACCTGCAGAAGGAGGAGTACCATACTCACCGGGAACTTGCATTTTCACTTTTTGTAAAGATGCCCAATTCTTCCCAATGCACTTTTAGCTGGGGGCCCAGCAAATTCTCCAGTTTCCCATCTTTTGCAAAATGATGGTAATCAAAATTAATCATTGGTGTGTCTACTGCATGGGATGATGCCCAAAGCAATTTCTTATAAAAGAACAGAGAATAATCTTTTTTGTTACTTCATTTGTAAAAGTCTTTCCGATAACATGTACTGAATTGCTGGTGAATGATATATATACCGTGTTTCCCCCGAAATAAGACCTCGTCTTATAATTTTTTTGCCTCCAAAAGAGGTACCTAGGTCTTATTTTGGGGGGGTGTCTTATCTTGGGACCATCACAGCCAGGCCTCCCACACCTCGACACCTGTTGTGTCGCTGCTTGACTTCTTCAGTGGCCGCTTGCCACCACTTATGGGCTGGACACCATGTGGCACATTGTGCCATTGCCGCTACTCATGGCAGGACATCGCATGGTGCTTTATGCCGTTGCTGCCACTCGTGGCAAGAAGTCACATGGTGCTATGGGCCATTTTTGTTGCTCGTGGCAGTATGCCGCATGGTGCTTCATGCTGTTGCTGCCGCTTGCAGCAAGAAGCCGCGCAGCTCTTCAAGCCATTGCCGTCGCTCATGGCAGGAGGCCACGCAGCATCCTGCCACAAATAATGGCAATGGCGTAAAACGGACACGGCCCAAAGAGCCATGCAGCATCCTGCTACGAGCAGCGGAAATGGCCCGAACCGCTATGCAGCTTCTTGCCACGAGCGGCAGCAACGGCACAAAGTGCTGTGCAACCTGCTGCCGTGAGCAGAGGCGCTGGTATGACGAGCCATACAGCGTGACAAATGTTGGGGCAGCTTCACTCCCTCTATCCCCTCCCTAGTTTGATTTTTAGGTGTCCGACTCATCCCAAAATTAGGGCTTACTTTCGGGGGGTTTATATTAGGCCCACCCTCAAAAATCAAGCTGGGGCTTAATTTCTGAAGGGGACTTACTTTTGGGGAAACACAGTATGTCTAACAATGCAGTCAGTTGTGAAGTTAAACAGAAGTAAAACAACTAAATATTTGCATTCAATTACTTATCAATTTCAAGAGCATTCAGGTAGTCCTCGATTTACAGCCATTCATTTAATCACCATTCAAAGTTTCAATGGCAATGGAAAAAAGTGACGTATGGCGGTTTTTCACACGATTGTTGTAGCGGCCCCACGGTCACATGATCAAAATTCAGCCACTTGGCAACTGATTGCATATTTATGACAGTTGCAGTGTCTTTGGGTCATGTGACCCCCTTTTGCGACCTTCTGATAAGCAAAGTCAATGGGGAAACCAGATTCCCTTAACAACCATGTCACTAACTTAACAAGTGCAGTGATTCACTTAATAACTGTGGCAAGAAAGTTGTAAAATGGGGCAAAACTCACTTAACAAATGCCTCAGCAATAGAAATTTTGGGCTCAATTGTGGTCTTAAGTCAAAGACTACCTATACTTAAGTTTCTGTGACATGGCATCATAAAAAAAATGGGATTCACCATGTTCTGATCTAATTGGGTTTAGTTATCTATCCTTTAGCATTCTCTACATGAATTAGTCCAACAATCATGTTGGTAGGGGATGACATGAATGATAACCCAAAACTTTAGAAGGGACAGGTTGAGAAAACCTAGTTAATACTTATGACATAGCTGCACAGTCTGTTTATTGTATTCATGGTCTGAATATTTTTCTTCATTACAGGTTGGGAGGCAGAGAAATAAGTAAAAATAAAACTATATTTTGTTCCCGGAAACATTAAGATAGTAAAATCTATTTCTCATGTAATAAATTATTACAGTAGAATATTTGAGGCATCCAGTCCTACACTGAAAAAATACCAGCTAAGAGACCACAGAATTTGGCAGAAATCCCAATAGACTGGCAGAATGCAAAATATGCTACTATCATAAAAATTAGTGATGGAATATTCTATTAGCAGAGTCAATTCAAAAACCAATCAGTGAAAAGAAGACATTATCAACAGAATGATAGGCAGAGAAATAATATTCTTATATTGTAATATATATCAGTTATCATTTCAATCTACACCTGTCACCTCAGCTTTTCAATGATGTTTTACAACAGCTCAGACCAGGAGCAAAGGATCTTCTTCCCAAATGGCTTTGGTGGGAAGACTGAATCAAAAATATAGTTTTCTAGGTCTCCATAACTGAATGCGCAACTGGAGTAACATAATGCAGTATAACAGCGCATCACCACAAGTATATTAAATGGACCACAAGTACAAGTTGAACATAACTAAGTTAGCCTCTTTGGCTTCACACATGCTCACATATGGGAAAATGATGTTTGAAAAACTACCCACGCCAAAAGGTCGTTTATATGTTGCCTCCATACTCCTTTACCATATGTGACATTTTTTGGCTTTGGCTGAACTGCACTGCATAATGTGACTATGACTAACAGGTGTGATAAGAGTAGAAAATTTCTCCACCCATTCACAAAGCCGTATGCTTGTTTGTTTAGTGCTGTTATTTCGAAAATTTCTACTCTGCCCTTTAAGCTTGTGTTGTATGCAGACAGCAGGGGTGCTAATGCTAAATTGAATTTTTCTCACTCTCACTAGCAGTATGATCAAACTCATTGCAAACTTCCAATGGCTAAGATCCAAAATGAATTTAAGAGAAAATCACTGTGTATGTAAAGGCTGCTTCTAAGTGATGAAGAGGTGAGCAACAGCAGCTTGTGTTTACCACTGGATCTGTTCCTTTGCTAACTGTCTACATATCTTTGTCTATTTACAGGCCTCAGTGCTTCATAGTTTACTTCGGAATGACTGAAGCACTACCAGCCCAGCATGAGTCATTGTTCCAAGCATGCTATCCAATTCTGCAGCTGTATTAACTGTTAGCCTCACAGAGGAATCACAGTGATTGCCTCTAAATGATGCTAGTGAGAAGGGCAGTGGGCCAAAAGACACTTGGTACACCCCAGATCTTCTGTTCTCCCCAACTTTGTTTTTAAAAGACCATTTAAAATGTTAAAAAGAGAATAAATGGGCAGTCAGCATGCTCTCTACACTACTGATGTTTCCCCAAAAGCCTCTAGGTTCTATAAATATAAAGAGGTTTTAAGAAATAAAAAAGGTGGGTGTAGCCAAATGCTTTGTAGTTTCCTGCCCAGAAAAATGACAATTTTAACCTGGTGTGAAAGAAAGCCCTCTTATGGGCTAGGAGGATTGGTGATACATGACATCAATTCCCCATCCGGTCGCATCACACTCATTCAGAAGAACCGAGGCACTTCCAGGTTGAAAGGATTAGCCAGTGACATCACGACTGCCCAAGGGAACGCCCAGTTGAAGGCTCCTTTCATGTCCCCAGCAGGAGCTGGAGCAAAGGGTGGCAGCACTCAGTCTCAAATGTGCGCTTGCTAACCTCCAACCCAGCGTGCTAACCATTATGCTCCTCCCCATCTGGTAAGCATTTATCTCCCCCTACCCCACTCCATCCCACCCTATATTTTAGGCCCCATGTCTGAAACATAGACACAGCAGCAGAAGCTTAGCTGGCTGAAAGAGGAGTTACTTCACATGCTGGAGGACCCTATTTTTAATCTGAGTAACCATCGAGAGAGCCACCTTAGCTGAAAGCAGGGCTGCATGGAACAACCCTCTTCCCAATACTGCCTGATTAGACAACCTTGCTGGATACTTGTAGGAGATGACCAGGGGGAACCCTAATACAGGGTCAAACTATCAGTTGCTACATTCCCACAAGAGATGAAAGTCCAGCCCTCTCTCCCCCAGCCCATGAATTCTGTTGATTCTTATCTAGCACCAATTTGCCTTGACCCTTAGTAGATCAGATTTTTGTGTATAGGTAGAATGTAATAAACTTCTATTACTTCGAATTCAGCTCCTGTTCCTGGTTACTTGCGCCTGACATCACTATCACTATCACAGCAGAATTCACTGTTCTGTCCTGTTTTTCCCTCATCTTCAAATGTCTCCCTGCCAGAAGGGAGGAGGCTTCATGCTATCCGTAGCAGAACATCCAGATTCAGCCATATTTCATTCCATACAGCATTAACCTTGTGAACTCTCAAGCTTCCTCCTTCCATTATACGTTCAAGATGGACAGTATTCAATATTTATTTGTTATGTATGTGTAGGGGTGTGGGTCTATACATATGTTGTACATAGTATGTTTAGGTGTGTGTCATGTATGTATTTCACTTTGAGAGCGGGCAACTAAATTTCATTTTTGATGTGTGCCGTTGTGCCCACAGTAAAAAAAATGACAATAAAGGTTACCTTATCTATCTTATCTTATCTTGCTTGTGCAAGCTTAAGAAAATATAATTGAGAAGATTTAATGCACTGAATTGCTATTTGGTAGTTCCCCAGTGCAACGCAGTGCACGGGAGGTGGCAGAGCTGGTTGCTAAACATTTATTAACATGCTGCTCCTCACAACCCATCATGTTCTTTGTCAACATATAGGAATTTTTACAAAATCTGATACCCTTTACAGCAGGGGTCCCCAACCCCTGGTCCGTGAACCAGCACCAGGCCGCAGCATGCCAGAAATCGATTCTCGCAAACAAGCAAAGCCCTATCCGCGGGTTGCAGGCAGTACATGAAACCACGCCCCCACCAAAAACCTTCTCTCCACGGAACCGGTCCCTGGTGCTCAAAAGGTTGGGGACCTCTGCTTTACAGGCTTAACTCCAGTACATTCGTACATCTTTATTCCCCCCCCCCCTCAGATAAGCATTATTGGGAAAAGCAACAGCATATTGCTGCTTTTTTTCTAAGAAAAGAACATCCACGGGGTACAACCTCTCATCCTCTGCTTTCAGTGGAATTATCTCTCTAAGAAACAGGGATCAACTTCAGATAAATGATCCAGTCGTATTCACAATTACTTATAACCCAATTGTTTTCAGTAGGCTGTCAAAAAAGCATTTATATAAATTTTACCAATTTGGGGATACTCAAACATATTTGTAAAAGGAAAATTACTATCTCTGATTTTTGCAGGCTGAGTGCTGGCTATCTAATAAGTGGGTATTTCTTACTTTTATAAGAAGCAAAAATTTGAACCAAGACAAAATTAGTAAAAAAGGCTTTGATCTTTGTTTTTACCTTGAAAGCCCTACTGAGGACCTCCTCTCCCCCTTTGCTTCTCAGCAAATTAACGATCACTTGTTTGCCATATTGCTCCTTCAGAAGTATCATATGCCTGAAAAAGCAGGAATAGGTTGCTTTGATTTCATAAATAATAGAAGCTACCTAGAATTCTTCTTAAACTATAAGTGACCAATGTCAGTTATGGCCTTCTAACCACACAAGTTTTTTTCAGAATAGCGGTTGAAGAACTTGATTCCTTACTACAATTTACATTTTACTCCAAATGAATACCTGTTGCATATTTTAATAATCAACCACTACTTCTTACACACCACCATTTTATAATTTACCTGGATTGGTTACTTGTTGGGAGTGTAAATAATTGAAATTATATAGGTAAACAGACTGTGATTTAGTTTATCAGGACACTGGTTTATTATAATAGATTCAGGGTATTCCTTATTTCAGGGAGCAAATTGAGATACCTTAATAGTATCTTGAATATTAAGATGCTTCCCTCAGCTGTAAAAATGCAATTTTATTTTATTTTTTACAATTTTACTAGAAAATGAATTCTTTCCTTGACTATTTCAAATATTGCATGAAATATTAAGACATCTACCAGACAGTGCAAATTGCTCAGGAATCAGTACAGACTCCAAATAATGACACTGCATGAAATTAACCTGATTCAGGATTTTAGAAAACAATCCTTTTGTTTGCCAATATTAACATCCCATAGACTACTAGGCTTAACCTGTGTTCCATCAGAACCAGCAGGAGTCTTCCTCCCGCAGACTTTGCAGCTGTCATCTCATTTTTTTAAATTATTTTCTCCTCAAGCAATTAAGGACTGCTAAAAAGGTAAGGGCATTTAATCATACAAGACCAAATAATGACTTTAGCGGAGTTTCAATAAGAGTGCCAGTCACATAACTCTTCATAATCCATCAGAATGTATTGGCCTTGGGATGGACTGTTTTCAAAGATTCTCCATTACTGCACTTGCAGAGTAAAAAAAAGCTATTGCTATCTCTAAACTTCAAAAGAAAAGCATTTGACAAGAACAATGAGATGTTAATTCCCATTTCAGATTAGCCTCCATCTAGATAAAATAAATCCATCCAGAATATGTCCTGCCCTAAGATTTGGCTGCACACATGTTAGAACAATCATATAATTTTCTTGGTTATAAAGTTCTGAGTAGTTCAACATCCAAACAACTCAGCATTAGTGTTGAAGTCTCATCAAACTACAGTTCTAGGGGCTATCAGCATCTCTTTCTAGGTACCTCTACTCAAATACTCCAACTGAGGGAAAACCTATAGAGGGGAACTGAAATTTCTATCGTGTACTCTCTGGCTGAATTTTCCTTTCCTAGAGTGTAGCTTTCTCTCTTGTAAATTAAAAACAGTATCAATAACATGACATTCTTCTAAACGTTAGTTTAGAGCTACATGATTGGAAAAAAGTGTGGTTTTTTAAAAAAATCATAGTATGTTTTTCATACTTTGTTTATTTGTTTTATATCCCACCAGTCATTCAGGCGCTCAATGGAGCATGCATAGTCCTCCCATTTTGTCCCACAACAATCACCTAGTGAGGTAGATTTGGCTAAGAAAAAGCAATTGCCCAAAGGTACCCAGGCATCTGAAGGTACCCAGAACACTGACAGCTTTGTTTAAAAACATACACCTATTTTTCAACATTTCTTTTTTCTCAGATGTAGTCCTAAATGACAAACGGGAATATTCATGCAAAAGAGCGAAATGAATTTGAAAACCAAAAGACATGGCTGCACATAAAGATTCTAGAACACCCTACAATGAAAGCTGTAACATCAAGTTCTAGGCTGCAAGTTATCAGCAATCTTGTAATTATTAAACCTACTTATCAAAAGCAGGAGCATTTGCCTCCAGACCTCTGGTAAGCTTCAGATGATGGGAACCAACCTAAAAAGATAACAATAAAAAGAACAGGAAGTGATACTCTTAACATGAATCACTAGATGTCTCCCTTCTTCATTTAGAGAAAAGTGTTTCTTTATTATAGCCTAGCAACCATCTTGGCATCCACAAATGATGCCACAGAACACAGGAGGCAGATGTTATTAGAAAATGGGAATGACAAAAAACAACGATGCATAATTAATTAATCTGCCCAGAATCTTTTTTCCAATGTTTTTCAATTTCTTTGTAAGATTAAAATTGATTGTCTTGCTTATATATTTTAAATTTTTTATTATACAAAATTAATTAACAAAAGAAAAGTATAAAGGCATATGATCGCATTTACAATATAACCACTTATAAAGATAACTAACGCACTCCCCATTTCTATATTTCTGAATCAGTCCAAACTCAAATAAGCACATGTACAAATCCATTTCATGTGAAAGGTTACATCATAGTCCCTCCAAAAAGAATGGAAACTCCTGTCCTATTTACAGTTTAACACCAGAAATGCTTACATGCCAAATATAAAGGAAACTTTCAGTATAGTGATAAACATTGCTTTAAACATTCATGATTTATGCTTATTACCTGCAATCCAGGTTGCTCCCAGAATAATGGAACTGAACCTCTGATCTGAACAAAGGAAGAAACATCCATGTCCAAATAGATAGTCTGAGAAGATAAAAAATAGCATATATTTAGATTAATGCAATGTTTGACTACAAGTAGTGCTCATTTAACATCTGCTGGTTCAGCAATCCTTTGAAATTAGGACGGGTACCCCCTGAATGAGATTATTTACAAGCGGTTTTTGCAGTTGTGGCTGTTACATATTGCCATGATCTTGTGATTGTAATCTGGGTGCTTGGTGACTGGCTTGCAATTGCAACACTGCAGTATCCCATTGTCAAGTGATCTTTATTTGCAACCTTCACTACTATCTTCCAATAAAGTTAATGGAGAAACTGGAAGGAGGTGGCATATGGTGATCACATCACCGTGGGATGCTGTAACTGTGTGTGATTTGCCTAACCACAGCACTTGGGAACTGTGGAAACTGCTGTCCTAAGAGTGGTCATGTGCTGCCATAACTGCATCACTTAGTGACGGAGTTCCTGGTTTTAATTACCATCAGTAAGAGAAGAGTGCCTATATTAAATTGTTTTACACATTGAGTAGAGATCAATTTATCTGGATTATCAGATATTTTTAAATTTGCAAAATAACAATTCATAAATATCAAATTAATATAACACTACTAAGCAGCTTAAAATGCTGACAAGACTTAGAAAATGTATTATTTAAAAAATATTTTTAAAAACCCATTTGGCTCTTAACTATTCAATATACCATTTTTCACAGGTTCATTTCTGATATGCACTCACTTCATACAAAAATTATTTTGTTTATAAATTATAGAATAGAAAAATGTGAGCCAGCCTATATATCACATTTTCAAGGTGTCATCCTTTATGTTTGACTTCTGTTGAATGTACACTTGGTATCTAACGACAGTCTGTATAGAACTGTCACTTTGAGATATAATAACCAGAACTGTGCAGGATATTTTTAGTATGATTGTGCCATAAAATGAAATAAATACATCATGCTAGCATTTCTTTCCTAATAATCCTAGTCAGAGTTTGCCTTATTTACACAACGTTTTTCAGTCTATTCTATTCTATTAGTTAAAAAGATAATATGATTTTTGTCTAATGCATAATACTTTATACCACCTTATGCTGGGCTATATTATTTATGTATTAGTTCATTCAATTTGTATGTTCTCCCATCTCAACAAAATTCAGAAGAAAATAAAAACACAATAACATAAAAATTTAAACGATGGCAGCCAAGTATGTCATACATCATAACTGCTAGAATAAACAAGAAACAAGTCTCTGTATATACTCAGGTCCCAGACCCAGGCCTGATCTTTAATTAATTAGCTAATTAAGGCTAATCAATCTTAATTAAGAAATTAGTCATTTCTATGTCCCATTTTCTAGTTTGGAAAATACTTTTGGATTTTTGTTGTCTTTACAGACAAAGCTACATAGACATTTCCCAGGATGCTGTTTTTACCTGCAATGTTCCATTTTCCCTGTCACTGCCAGTTCTTATTATAAAAAAATATTACCCACTCCAAGAACATTAAGCCTGGCCTGTTCTGGAGCAAAAAAACAAAAACAGAATGTTCCAAGAAGAAATAAAATATTCCCCCCAAAAAACTATTTCATTTTGCTCATCCTTAGTTTCAGCCTTATATTCCCTAACCCAGGGGTAGACAACCTTGGCTCTTTTATGACTCATGGCATGGCTGGCTCAGGAATTCTGGGAGTTGAAGTCCACGAGTCATAAAAGAGCCAAGGTTGCCTACCCCTGCACTAGCCTGTATCAGCTGATCTCTAAAAGCTAAGTAGGATCAGAAATGGTTAGCAGTTAGATGGGAACCATCAAGAATCTCAGGACTGTAAGTTAGATAGGGAAGCTAAGCAAATATCCCAGAAGGCAATATCAAGTTATTTCCATATGATTGCCAAACAAATTACACTGATTTGAAGAAAATTAATTTATTATGGGTATTTTTATACAACTAACTCTGATGATTCCTGCTGGTTCTAATACTGCTGTATCAAGGCCAGTTTGAATGAGGAATTAAGCTGTGTGGGATGCAACTTTTAATTTAATTCCTGCTGCAAAATTCCTTCTCCCCACTTTTCAGTCTGCATGCTGCTTTGTTCAGATCCCCAGCACCACCACTTCTTTGGATTGTTTTTGTAGCAAATGAGCTAAAAGATCAACAGCTGACTTCAGTTTAGAAAGCAAAGAGACTTCAAATTGTTTTGTTTTTCTTTGCGCATGCAGTGAGTCATCAGGAGAGAGAGGGGGAGAGAGAAATGAGTCACAGAAAAACTGAAGTATCAAAAGTATACCTCAGTGGGAAGAGCTTCCAGGAGATAAAGCTAATTGTTTACTTTCTTCCTTAAACTAGGGGAAACCATGCAGCGTAAAGGGGTCATGACATCTAGAATCCTGGGGTATATAATTAATGTATGAATAAGTAGAGCCAATATGATATGATGAACTATTTTTTCCATTGTATTAGAAGCAGTCATTACTTCATTGCTAATTATCTGCTAGTCAGCTAACAAAGCAAAATCATTTTCTCTACCGCCCTAATATTTTATATTCCAAACATAATTGGACTCAAGCCCATTCTTAAGTTAAATCCTATTTTTATATATGTATTATTGTAAAGAAGGGAAAGGCGCTATTGTTAAGTTTGTGATTCTCAATGGCTTGTATCACCTCAAATCTATTACTAAGGATACAAGGAGTCCTCAAGTTATGAGAGCAACTGGGACTGGAATTTTCATTTCTAAGCAATGTGGTTGTAAAATATAATGCCACATGACAACATCACTTCGCAACAGCAGTTCTGACAGTCATAAGCCAAGGACCACCCAGGTCAGGATCTCACATCCTGACAGCTTCTCCATTGATTTTGCTTGTGTGAAGCTGGCAGGGGATATTGGAATTCGCAAAAATATGACCACAGGGATGCCACAATGGCTAGAACTCCCAGAACATGTCATTTTTCCAATGCCCAACATATTTTATGGAAGTCTTAACTATTCCCACCATCTGTGACTACTTAGGTAACCAAGTAAAATATAATTGAAGAAGTTTCACTCAATGCCTACAAATGAGATTCTCAGAGGGAAATGGAGGAATACCAATAGTTTTAGCCAGGGCTTTCTATTAGAAGGGCCAAGAAGTCAGAAAAGCTTATCTTCTCTGCTTTGCTGCTTTAAAAGATACTTCATTTCACACTTAATTATTTAGTGACACGGATCTTCTCCTGCCACTTACCTGCTCCGTCTCAACAAAGTTAGAAACATGACCATCATCATTGACTCCTCGTATGTGAAACCGGGCACCAGCTCGCTCACAACTAATCCGGGAGATGAGACAGGCTTTTGCCTTCTTGTGAGAGGCATAAAGAGTACGAATGTCCACCACACCACAAATCACTTTTAGTAGCCAGTCTGAACAGTTCACCTGATAGTGTTTAAAAGGGACATGCAATAGCTGGTTCCTGTAAGAGTCAGCAGGACAGAAAGAAAGATCATGTAGGTCCAACACACGTTTATACATTTTATATCTATAACTGTATCTGTATATCCAAATCTAGATCTCTCTCTTTAGCAAAGATTACTTTTAATATGTTTTTCCCTGTGCACTTTACAAATTTTAAAGCCTAGTACATAAGGTAACAAATGATATCCTAACCAGACTAAAAAAAACCCAACACTGCAGATAAACAGAGATAGTTAGAAAGTCACAAAAGGAAGGAAGTTTAACTGCATGATTTTAAAGTGTTGGTTATGACCTGAACTTTTACAAACGTTTGTTGTTCACTATTTTTCTGCAATAAAAACAGAGAATATTTTATTTACTTATTAGTTATAGTTTACCTCCCCCACCCCCCAAGGAGCTATAGCTATTCTCTTTAAAATCTTCCCCACAATAACTCTTTCAGGTAAGCTGAGCTATGAAAGAGAGTTTCCAAGACTGAGAGGACACTGGAATCTGGTTCTTACCAGTTTTAAGTTAGAACCATTAAACCACATCACATTATCTCATGAATGCCACAAAACTACCTCTAATTACCTTTACGGTGCAGTAAATCTGTGTTAACATGACCTATAAACTAAATTTAGGACCTACTTAGTGTTTCTGCATCATAAATAGTAAAACAGCTAACACAGGTTTTTGGGGCCTTCTGATCAATATTTCACTGTTGCTGGTATGTATTCAGTTTGGCACCATTACTATATTAATGTATTTATTCTACAACTGTTCACACCACCATTTAAAGCAAAAATATTATGAAATAATGCTGTGGATTTAATAGCCTTGCATATATACTTAAACTTGTATATTGCTTCATTATGAATATATATTTATAAGTTTTTATTGAAAACTATTAATCATTCAGCAGAATTAATTTATTCATTAGCTTTACATAGGAAGAAGGGCACAGCATCCACAGAAATGGTGGAGATTCCACCAACATCAGTCCTAATGAGTCCTATTGTTTTCTCTTAATACAGTCAGTAGAGACAATATAACCACACATTTCAATGTCTCTTGTGTAAATCAATGGGACTTAGCTTGGGGTACAATATACTTGTGTTAAACAAATCAAGGAAAATTGTCTCTATTAGACATATTCAAAATACATTTAAACCTGCTACTCAATATGTGAAATCATAAGTATCTAAGAAGATCCTGGATGGATTGAAGATTCATCTTACCTAGCAATTCTGGGCAGCTTCACCAGTTACAAAGGAACATTATATACAAACAACAATTATCTGAGGGACAACATAACATCCTACTATATCAACCCAGCTCAAAGAGACCCACCCAAACATCTTAAACCAAGGCTTGGGCAAAACTCCTAAGTTTGGTACCAACCAGAAAAATGAATTTCCAGTCTGATAGCTATCATCATCTTTCTCCTGGGCTCGGATAGTGAGATCAAAGTTTGATCCTGAATTTGGCCAAGAAAAATAGAAAACCCCAGAATTCAGAAGTTTCTTCAAGGCAGAGACACGATCTTCTTCTTTAGTTTCTTCTTGGAGAGCACAAAATTCAGTAGCTGTGATCTTGTAAACTTCAGTATCAAGGATTTTTCCCACTGATGTACAGCCTGTCACAAGAACCAGGAAATGCAAAGTGGAGTTGCCTGCAAAAAGACATTTATAATATAGTTATATTTATATACACACACTTATCTGCTTATGCTGCTCTAGTTTTTAGCTACAAAGGCAGCCTATATTACATGCTTTCATTACATTTATCAGAAGACGACAATGGGTCCTTGTTAGGCTAGTAATCAGAGGCTAAATTTAAAATATTTATCTGTCTGGAAGTTTCTGTAGGTATGAGAGAATTATACATAGGCATAATTAAGTTTATAAATCTTTAGAAGTAGAACATTTATCTGTAAGCATAGACATAGTAGATTCTGTCTATTCTAATAGCTAGACATTTCTAGGAACACTCAAAATAAAGCTTAACCAGAATCTTCATGATATAGTATCATAATAAAATGTAACAAAAATCTTTTCAACAAATCTTTTGAAGCCAAAATAAAATCAGGATTTTGGAGAACTAAAAAAATCTAGAAAACAGTTTTGTGCAAGCCTCTCTAATGGAATCATTTTCCAACCAGGTAACTCTCACTGAAAATGTCATTGTTTAGTAGCCATATTTCTCATTTTATTTGATACTCTGAAAATAATTATGAAGCTCCAAGATAAGGATACTATTGTAAATCAAGTCTTCCCTTCACACATTCTTCCTTCTGGGATTCAAAAGCAGATTCAAATAGGCTGCAAAGATCAAAGTGCAATAGGAAATGAAAAGATATAATCACGTAAACATTCCTCTTTGTCTGAAACATAACTAGAAATCTCTTTTATCAAATGGGAAGGATGGAAATGACTACCATTTCCAATCAGCAACCAGCAGAGACACTGAAAAAGTTGCTGCTTCCTGGGAAACCGGCGGAATATGCTTTTTTTAGAATTCCTAGAAGGGTGCTTTCACACGCTTTCCTATACAGGAGTTTATAGGTAGTCCTCAACTTCTCACCATAATGGAAGCCAGTTGTTAAGCAGGTCACCATGTAACCACTCCCAATTTTACAACCTTTTTTGCTGCAGTAGTTAAGTATGTTAGCCAATAAGAGGACAAAATCTCACAATAAAGAATGTGCTATGCAAGGTTGCCAGATATATGCTTGTGTTGCTTATGCCAGTGAGAAATAAAGCAGACATTGTGTCATTATTCTTGAGGCTGCCATTAGCTTCTTTGCCCACATTCTGAAATGGGAGTTGAAAGTCTTCATTAACTATGACCTATAATTAATAAAACCTGCCACATAAAAAGAATGCTTCTGGCAGCTGGCTCTTGGCTAAGAAGGGAGGTTCTTGAGCTTTGCCATATTTTATGTGCAGAGGTCTTATGCTTTTAAAAAACATGGTGGACTAACATGGAAAAATACAGATTTCTTCAACGTTGCATTAAAATGCTGAGAAAAAGGGTTGCCAGACATGGAACCTCTGACTATAAAGCTGTGTATTTCATAATTCCTGGTCAAAGAGTGTTCCTTTACTGCCTGCTGAGTTTTCATCTATTTTCTATCACATCACTAACAGAAACAAAAGATGCACATTTGAGAACTTATAAAAACAAAGTTTAAGTGAAGAAGTCTAGAAGCTGGGAGCTATATTACAGCAGTGAGACCATCAATGTGTGATCTCCTTCTAATTTATTCCCGCTAAAGCAGTAGGTTACAAAAATAAAAACTACAGTAACTTTAGTGAAACACATCTTATTTTCAAATTTATATTAGACTACATGGTAAGATGAATGTTTAAAAAACTGAAATAATCATTCCATACTGTACTCTGGTAGTCCCTGACTAATAACCACAATTGAGCCCAAAATTTCCATTGCTAAGCATAGCAGTTGTTAAGTGAATTTTGCCCCATTTTACTACCATTTTTGCCACAGTTGTTAAGGGATTCATGCGATCATTTAGCAAATCTGGGTTGTCGGAAGCCTGCTGGGAAGATCACAAAAAGTGATCGCATGATCCCGGAACAGTGCAACTGTTTTAAATACATGCCTGTTGCCAAGTGCCCAAATTCTGATCACATGACTATGGTCATAAATGTGAAAAATAGTCATACATCACTTTTTTCCCCAGTACTGCTATAAGTGAATGGTCACTAAATGAACGGTTATAAGTTGAGGACTACCTGTAATCATTTCTCTTTTAACCTACCGAAGGACAACATTGACATTTTCATTAGTAATAACGCATCAATGAGTATTACTGATGGTTCTTTTTGATCTGACTGTTGCACAATATTAAATTAAATGATTACGTACCAGATTTTAACTGGAGCTCGCCTAAGCATCCATAAGCATCCATAAGCTTCTCATATTGCCCTTTAATTTCTTCTTTTTCTTCAAATGCTGGGGAAATCACAAAGTCATCAATGCTTGCTCCACTCTATGGCAATGTAATAAACCAACTAAAATCAGCATATATATTTTTAGGGCTATGCAAATCAATAGAAGGGATGCTTGGACTGTGGCAATATGCAAGTAAAACACTCTTTGCTTTGCTTGACAGTTCTGGATTTGCACATACCAGTTCAGATGACTAGGGAAAACCTCAAACTGGCCCTGCTCAATTTTTAGCACTTCAAGGAGTTGCATTTAGCTTGTGATGTTAAAACAACAAAAACTCTTCCAAATGATTCCCAGAGACCAAATGAAGCCTATGGTTGGTTGGTTATTTATTTATTTGCTGGCTGGCTGGCCTGCCTGCACATCTGTGAGTCAATTTTGACTCCCTGGGATTGTCTGGACAAGTCTCTGCATTTTTCTTGGCAACATTTTCAGAAGTGGTTTGCCATTGTCTTCTTCCTAACACTGAGAGAGAATGACTGTCCCAAATTCATCCAACTGGCTTCAGGCCTTAAGGTTGGACTAGAAAACATAGTCTCCTGATTTCTAGCCTGGTTGCTTAACTATTACATAAAAAGTCTCTTACTTATTTATTACAGATACTTATACGCCACCCAATTCCCCAAAGGCTCTAAGCAATTTATAAATTATATAGAAATAAAATATAAAGAACAAGAAAAACATGGAAAACACACAGCAATCAACTTTCTTTAACATGTTATATCAGCCAAAACATATTAACCATGACTAAGCCATTTGTTGACTAAGCTGCATCAAATGTATCACTAGGACATAATCAAATAAATCATATAAGTCTTAGTACAATGTGTAAGTTCAGTCTTAAAGTACCCATCACTTGAAGTTATTTTTGTAGTATAGCTAAATTTTAGGAATTCAAAGAATGCAGAGTAACTGTGGACACAGATAAGAGGATGGAATTTAATTGGAGAATGAAAAGAGTGTACAGAAATATTGAGAACCGTAACCTTAACAGAGAAGAGAACCATAAATAGAATGATTAATTTTGTTGAACATTAACTATTCAAAATTTCCAGGTGTGAAATTTCACTAGATGAAAAGCTGAAGGTTAATGGTAAATAAAAAAATCAGGGAGTCATGCTAGAAAGGCAATAATTACATTAAAGGATATAAAAAGTTAAAGATTAACTCCCTTGACTTAAACCCAATTCCAGGAGACTACTTGGACAATAAAATGGATTAGTTTTATCAAAAGCTTTTGGGGGGATATTTTTCTAATTGGCTAGAATATTTTTATGGCACTTGGATTTCCTGAGTCTCCCATCTCCCATCCAAGTACCAAGCAAATGAACTCTTTTATTTGTTAAGAGACAATTAAGATTCTCCTAATAGTGAGAACAATTAATCAGTGGAACGGCTTGCATTCAGAAGTTGTGGGTGCTGCATCATTGGAAGCCTTTAAGAAGAGACTAAACAGCCATTGGTCAGGAATGGTATAGGACAGTGATGGCGAACCTTTTAGAGACTGAGTGCCCAAACCGCAACCCAAAACCCACTAATTTATCACCGGGTGCCAGGTAGCCGTGGCCCACTGGGTGGGCGTGGCTGTGGTGGTCATGGCGATTGGATGGGTGTGGCCAAAGTGGGCGTGATCACCTCGATGTTGCTCGTGGGGAGGGACGCCTGTGGGGGCCGGGCAGGGTTGGGGGAGATCCAGGGGGTCTCTGGCAGGTGGGGTGATGGGCAGGAGGCTCGTCCTCCTGGGTGAGGTGAGGCAAGGCAAGGCAGGGCGGGGGTGCCATTGTCACAGGGCAAGGTGAGGCAGGGGCCGGGATGGCTGCTGCCTGACACCATCGGCCGCTGCACACAGAGGCCAGTGAGTGCATGGGTGCTGGGATGCATCTGGCCATATGGGACCTCGGCGAGTTAGTGGGCGGCTGGTTGAAGAGGGACGGTTGCCATCTCCGGGGCATGGCATGCGTGCCCACAGAGATGGCTCTTGAGTGCCGCCTCTGGCACACGCGCCATAGGTTCGCCACCACTGGTATAGAATCTCCTGCTTGAGCAGGGGGTTGGACTGGAAGACCTCCAAGGTCCCTTCCAACTCTGCTATTCTGTTACAGTATTTTGTTAATTTCTGCCAATTGCTTAGTTATTTTAAGTGTTAACAAGGGTCACTAGGAAGATATATTAGCTATAGACTTAATAAAGAGCTAATGCTAATGGGCCCCTATTTTGAAGTGAGGGGAGAAAGAGAGTCTGTTATTCACAAAAGTCCACTATATATAAAAGTAGAATATTATGACATGTCATTTTTGGAATGACACAAATATCATTAGCATGATGACCTCATAATGTAGATAACATCACACCGTTTCTGCATTACATCTTTACATAAATGATATTAAATTGTGGGGGGAAATTGTTCTGTTGTATCCAAAGTTCATTATACCATGGTCCAGTAAATTGAGCTTTCATTGTGATAAATGTACCCTAGTTTTTTAAAATTCTGCACAACATAATGAATAGCAGGGAATTTTCTGTAAAATAGGACTTTCTAGATAATACGAAGCTCATAGAATAAATTGTTTAATTCTGTGCAAGGTTTCAATATTTGTGAAAGTGCACTCAACAGACATACATTGATATCACACAATCAAGATATTTAATTCTTCATTAGACAAAGAAATTATTGTTGCCACAGGCCACAGTGGAACTATACAAATAAGGTGAACAAGATGACTTAGAGAAATGTAAATAAAGTTTAAGAATGTAAGTAATTTTCGAACGTCGCCCATTTCACAACTAATCAAGAAAAGGAATTGAAAGTCCAAAGTTCATTCTCCTAGTCTGCATTAGCAAACAGAAATATATTTAACACAGCTGTGACACTGGTTGCAGAAAGAAAAGTATATGCTACCAACAAGACAAACACCAAGATTTAAATAATGGAAGAGTAAATGCAAATACATTTTAAACAAAGCAAAATTCATATGATTACAGTTAATAGACAAAAGCTTGATGCTCATGAATGCGCTGGTTATAATAACAGTTTCAGGGGTAGTAAATTACTGTCAGTACCCTAGTTAGGGGAAAGGGGTAATTCAGAAGAAATTTCTGACATGAGGCTATCTGGCATTCTCAAGAACAACTCCAGATCTGAACCAGGCTTTCCTGATGAGAGATGTTTCCTTTAGCATGTGGCTAAATGACAGATCTTGCACAAGGTGGAAGAATTTTTAATCTTTTGAGAACTTCAGTTAGTTCTCCAGAGAAGGGAGAAGCAATCAGCTAAGGGTTGGATCTAATCAAGCCAGAAGCAGACCTTGGCTTCAGGCATCAGATCATACTAGGAAGTAAATAACAAGTATAGGTAAAAATATGGTATAAGTATTTTTTTTAAAAAATGTATTCATCATAATTTCTTCATACCTTGGAGCATAGCACCACTGAAGGTGGATGTTCCTGTTTATCCAGTAAGTCAAAAAGTTATTTTTGTGCTCTAAATTAATTCTATTAATAACCTTTTCACCTAGTTTTTGCTTGATGGGAAAACATATGCTATAGTTACAAATCCTGCCCAAGGAGATTTGGAATTTCCTTCTCTGCCTGTTAGTTGCAGATGACAAATTACACCTCATTACAGAACTGTAATTGTAAAGTTACTTCATGTTAGCAAAGGAAGGTTAGGACAGATTAGAATTCAACTTTCCTGATAGGCTCATTTCTAAGTAGATATGCATAGAACTATATTATTGAAGTTTAAATCATCTTAAAACTTCCAAGATGTAGCAAAGTGCAAGAATGTCTAAATACTGAGAGATACTTTTTAAAGCTTAATGTCTCTAAATAAACATAGTACACTAAACTTCAGTAGATCAGGAAGGCAATAATAATGAAGCAGATCAGTGGTGTCCACAGGAAATGGGACAGAGTCAAAATAGTGACCATAGCAACAGGATTGAAGTCCTACCTCATCATATGAGGGAGTAATGCCTGCCCTACCCTTTTGTGTGTACAAAGGGAGTGATGTTTTGAACTTGCTACCATTACTTTTTTGATAACCACTCCTTCCTCTCCACACACCCCCATGATGCTGCAAATCAAGATTGGAGCCTAATTCTTCAGGGACTCCAGAGTGAAGCATGATGGATTCAAGAAAGGGAAGAGAAGGACAAAGAAAAAAAAAGTATTTTAAGAAGTATCTTGAGCCCCAGTTTGCTGGGGAACACATGCAAGAGACATTAAAGCATGCAGTGAGGGGCATCTAGGTGGTTATTGTGGGTGCTGGAGGCTGGAATAAATAGGCTTTCAATCTAACATAGCTTCTCTTATGCTCTCAATCTCTTATTAATGTTTAAAATATAAATAATATATGCTTCATTGATAAAATAAATAGATCATCAATATCTTATTTATTCATTATCAGAATAAAAGTTATGCATGCCAAGATGTTTATATGACATTTTGATTATAGCAATCTTTGCAAATTCATGTATCATGGAATATTCTGATATTTTAATTGTTTACCTTTGTGAAAGGCAACCCTTGAAAATCTGGAGGTGTTGCTTTGCATTGTTTTGGCCTTAGGCCAAAGCTGTAGAGTGAGTGAGGAGAGAATTATATAGCACCTGGCTGTAAGTGGACCTCATAGTTTAATTGCTTGTTTTATTGACCTCATTTTCAACAATCAGTTGAATCAAAGAGGACGGAGTGAAGGGGTGACAGGCATGAAGGGGTGACAATGAGGTATTGAGCAAACGCATCTTCTACAGTATCTCTCATATTAGTTGTAGGGAGGATAGTGCAAATGAATTTCTGAAGACAAGCTGCCACTTGTTATATTAAATTTCTATCTAACCTTATCGTTTTATGGACTGTGAAACAACTTCTGTAATTAATAAAATGTATGTTGGCAAGGAAAAACTAACTCATGCTATTCATTAAGAAATGTGGATGCCTCAAGCTAGTGATACTGTTTGTCCTGATGAGATTTCCTGAACTCGTGCAAACTTATCTTTGTACCATTGTTGAAACTGGAAGAAGAAATATGTTCTTGTTCATTCTTGAAAGGTATTGAGCCTTTCCTCCTGTAATAAGATATGATTGTAATCATGGCTTACGTGGTTTGAAAAGGAGATGGCCGCCAACTACTGGCCACCAACTATTGCCCAAAAATACAACTGACATAACCTCCCAAAATCAGTGGCGATTGAATCAAGAATCAATTAAGTTTCTGATAATAATGGAAATTATACTTTCATATCCTACTATAATGAAAGCAATGAAAAAATGGGACTATGATTAAATATAAAGAAGATCAAACTAATGACAACAGGGGGGCACTGAAAGGGGTAGATAAGTTTTGCCTTTTAGAATTGACTATCAAAAGTTCAGGAACTAGCAGCCAAGAAATATCCAACAATTAATTTATAAAAAGAAAGAAATGTGCAACAGACCAGCACTTGGTAGAGAAACCACAAAAGCCCTGCATAAATAAGTCAAATGCACATCTATACCTCCTACAAACATTAGATCGCGCAGGCAGTGCAACATTGGGTGGATGTGAAAATTGGACTGAAGCAAGACAGAAGGACTACTGCTACTTTTGAAAGTTGGTATTGGAGAGGATTTTTAGCCGACCAGGGACAACCAAGAAAGACACCAAAAAAAATAAAAAAATCACAAATAAAAAAATCACAGAGTAAATCAAACCAGAGTTCTGATACAAGACACAACTGACCAAACTCAAACTCTTGTTTGCTCACATTGTGCAAAGAAAGGCCCAGCTCCCTTGAGAAGTCCATAATGTTGGCAAAAATGGAAGGAAAAAGAAGAAGAGGACCAGCAGCAAAGCAAGCGCCACTCAAGAGATGGAAAAGGCCAGGTTGAGCGGAGCATGCTGGAGGAAGCCCATCCATATGGTCGCTAAGAGCAAACACTGATTTATCAATCAATCAATCAATCAACCAAACAAACCCTTCTGACACGGTTGGCCCTCTTGGAAACCGGAAAGCAGACAGGGTGGACCATTGGTCTGTAAGACCTCGCCTTCTTCCTTCGAAGTTGCCTCGCCAGGCAAAGCAACTGCAGGGGTGGTTGCGTCCAGAAAACCACGCGGGCACACCTACACACCTGAACACACACACACACACACATATAGATCCTTGGTGCGAGGTACTCACTGAGGGTGGCTGTCGTGCCGGCTTCCAGCAGCAGGCAGTCCTGGCGGCCGCGGGCCTCCAGTAGGGCGCTCGGAATGGGTTCCTGCTTCCACAGCAGCCTCAGCCCTTTGCTCAGAGCCATGGGAGGCTTTTGCCCATCAGGTGGGAAGGAGGAAACCAAACCAGCGGAGGCGAAGTGCTCCAGAGCAGCAGCTGCCCCGCTCCAAAAATAAATTAAAAATAAAGAAATCACGCACCCTTTGCAAAAACTAAGTTTCCCCAAAGAGCCGGCTCCGGAGGCGCACCGCGACCTCCCCACCACCGCCGCCTCGGCTGCGAAGGGAGGGGGGGGAGGGCCAGACGCCTTTCAACTTGATCCAAAACCAACCCCCCACTTCCCCCCCAAAAAAGTTAGGAAGAGACGGGGAATAACCCCGAAAGGAAAGGAAGGCTGGCCGACGGTCTCCTCTCCTGCCCCGCTTTTCGTGGGGGCGACTGGCGCGCCCTTCGTTGCCACCGGCGCCCTTTCCGAGGCCAAATTCCAGCTGCTCGGCCCCTTCGCAGACGCCTGTCTGGCTCCTCGTCCCCAGCTCGGCCGGGAGGGCCGGAGGAGGAAAGGAATGGATGTTCCTCCGGCGGAGGGGGGATTGCAAAGGCTCCCCCCTTCTCGCAAGTACTTGCACAATTTCCGGATTTTCTAGTTCCTTATAGGAAAACTGCTCGTTCCCCGCCGCGACTGGCCAGGGCGGGGACCTCGTTTTGCTTTTTTTTTTTTCTTCCTTACAGTAGAAACTTTCTGGAGGACTTCGAGATGTGGTCGCCGCCTCTTTCGCCTCCTCGGGGGACAGGTGAGCGCCCTCCCTCGGGGGGGTGGCGAGGTTAAGTTCCCCGCCTCCTCCAGGAGGGGGGGGCTGTACTTCTCGTGGGGCTCCCGAGGCAGAAAGGCCGGCTAGAAGAGATTTGGGGAAGAGCTGGATCGGCCTTGGCCGGAATATATATATATATATATTTTTCCTTCCCTTGCGGCGTTGTTCACGTTTCCAAAAGCCTTTTGCAAGCAGTTGTTGGATTTGGCCTGGATATGGCTGTTTTATATGTAGGGTGATCCTGGTGGAAAAGTGCCTTCTATGAAGTCGACCAGAAAGATTGTAGATTTGGATGGAAAAGGCTGCACAGAAACGGCAGTCTTTCCCCGGAAACACGTGGCATGTTTCAAATGCTGACCCGATTGAACGGGAGGAAAAAATTTAACACGCCGTGCAAAAAAAAATAGTTATTAGAAAGGAGGATAATTAGTTATTAGAAATAACTATAGATAGTTATTAGAAAAGAGGAGGCTTCTCCTGTACGTACTTGTGCATGGAAGAGACATCATTTCCAAGTCATACTGGGTGTAGTGTTATTTTGTTCAAATTTACAATCAAATTAGGTTTTTTACTTCTTTGCACGGTTCTGATGTTTGTATCTTATTCAAAAGAACACAACAGAGTGCCTCTGATGCAGAATAAAAAATGCCTTCAATTAAGGTCATTTCACATGCTTAGATCAGACATGTCAAACACAAGGCCCAGGGGCCGGATGTGGCCCGCAAAGAGGTTTCATGTGGCCCGCGAAGCCATCCTGGACACAGTGAGGGAACGGACCCCGCTGCCTTGGCCCTGGCCCAGGCCAGCCGGGAGCCAATGTACAATTTTGTGGTGGCCATCTATGCTGAAACGCATTCAGTCTTAGCTCCATAAGCCCCCCCCCCCCTAGCCTGAGAGGAACAGTGAGGCTCCTTCAGTGGACCATGCCTTGGCACTTGCCCTGGTCCCACCCCCTTCTGCTAGAGACCCTCAGATCTATCCCATTCCTGCCCAGACCCCCACAGCACCCTTGACACGAAAGGTGTAGAGCTGGCCACACCCACCCAGTAGGCCACACCCACTCCATCCACACCCACCCAGTAGGCTGCACCCACCCTGGCCACACCCACCCGGCCCCCTGAGGGCAACCACAATGCTGATGCGGCCCTCAATGAAATTGAGTTTCACACCCCTGTGTTAGACGATAGTCAGGTTTGGGTCCTAATGGTTGAAATGGATTGGTTGATGTTCCTTAGGCGAGAAATAATGTTGAGATTTTTATTCCTTAGTGCAGAGGTCCCCAACCTTTTGGGCACCAGGGACCAGTTCTGTGGAGAGAGGTTTTTCCGCAGACCAGAGGGGGTGTGGTTTTGTGTGCTCCCTGCATCCCATGGATGGGGCTTTGCCTGTTTGTGCAGACCAGTTGCTGGCATGCCACAGCTCGGTACCGGTCCATGGACCGGGGGGTTGGGGACCCCTGCCTTAGTGGGTGTTTTAATTGAAGGAATGAAGTAGAGATCAGAGAATTCTGTGGCAAGAGAATGGAAGGAGAAAATAAAGAAGTTGGTCATTTAAATTTGGAGACAGTTTGGTATAATGGTTAAGGCACCGGACAAGAAGTCAGAAGATGGTGAGTTCTAGGCACAAAGCCAACTGGGTGACCTTGGGCAGGTCACTCTCTCAGCCTTAGGACAAGGGCAAATTACATCTGGAAAATCTTGCCAAGAAAATTACTGGGACAAGTTCAGGCAGTTGCCAAGGACCAACATTGGCTTCAAAGCACACCCGTGCGCACACATACACATCCAAGATAGCACCCAGTCAAGGGGCACCACTTAGCCATCATTCTGTGATCTTGAAAAACAAACAGAATTAGGTCTGGTCAGGAAATACTGAGGCAGACAAAAATAGGGTGGAAAATGAAAAAATAAATCACAGAAGAAGACAATATCAACCTCTTCCATATTGTTACCGAGAAAACTGCATAGATATGCCCGTGATGTCACCTGCCATTGAGTTTGACTCCAAGGAGTCTTTACTTTCTTAGTCAAGATAGCTGTGAGTTTATTTATTTCACAACTCCCATAACTTAATAAGGCTCCTTAGCTTCCCTTGTTTAACTGGAACACCAGTATTATATCTTGGAAAGTCTGACTTCAGAAAACCTCTGCTTCAGGTCTGCTGTCTTGACCTCAAGTCCAACCGGCTCATGGGCATTTCTTAAACAGCCCCAGATCTGAATTTCTGTTGCTTTTCAGTAGTATCATTTGGTCTGTATTTTGAGTGGCTTTTAAACACTACTCATAGTCATAAAAAATACAGTACCACTATTCTTTTTGCTGCATAATTACTGAATGTAAAAAAGACAAACTAGTCTTGAGTTTAGTTGTATAAACCGTTCAGTGTGCATGTATC